TACAGGCATGTGATCTTCAAATGATCCACCTTCTGCCATTCGATGAGAGTATAAACATTGCTTGAGGTTCAACTTGCTTGTTAGACTTTTAGTCATGAACGATTGTTCTAACTTCAACCATAGAGCAGATATTGAAACCTTCTTCAAAACGTCCTGAAAAATAGTATTTGATAGATGAAGATGAATATGAGATATTGCCTTATTTTCCTTCCGTAATTTCTCATCGGCGGTCCAAGTTGCGGATATCTTGTCAATTCCCATCAATGCATCATCCAAATCCAATTGTACAAGTACTGCACGCATCTTAACCTGCCATAGCAAAAATCTAGTGCTCCGATCCAAAAGATGAACATCATATTTCATGGAAGTCATCACGAACAAAAATCTCGAACAAATCAAACCATGCACTCTTGCGGAATTGCCGAACCTGGTGCTCTGATACCACTTGTTGTGAAACCAATTACCGGATTGAGATATTGAAATTATATAACAAATAATGAATTATTAAATCAAGTAAAAGAATAATAAAAATAAGAAATATGGCAGAAGAATTAAGAGGTTTTATTGACTAAAAAATAATGGAGAACATAAAAAATTACTATTTATTCTATAATTATAGCAATCTATTTTCTCACACTTTTGGAATTAGGGATGGTAAAAAAACTCGACAAACCTGATACTCGTGGGGCATCACCTCGAATAGGGTGGAGATTACCTGCTTATAGAGGTGTAATCCGGGTGGTCCGGGTCGGATCGGCCCGCTAATATATGAGCCCGGTAACGGCCCGCCCGTTGACCCATTCGGGTTGAGCCTATGCGGGTGGTAGGTCACGGGTCGAGGGTTGTTCCGATTTGGCCCGTATTATTGTATAAATAAAATTATAAAAATATAGAATTTTTCATATTTATAGCAAAAAAAAAATATTTTTATTAAATGTAAACTAAGATTTGAACAAAATGATAAATTCATATTTATACAAAGAAATGTTTACATAGAATTCAAATTTAATGTTACATGAATTATTTATAACTTTGCAAAGTTAAATTTAATTTAAACAAATAACAATTAAATGCATTTCTAATTATTATTATCAAATATTTATAGTATAAGTACATCCC